GTTTATTAGAGATGTCATATTGGCAAATCTGGGAAAACCCGAATCTGAAAGCTTCCAGGTTTTCCCCACCCAAAAGAAAGACCAAATCCCTTCCCCTGCACCCACATGTCCATCACATGGCCCAATCAATGCACTGTCCCAACTGGAGATGCCTCCTAGTCACGCCATTCCAGGTGCAGGCAGAATGTCCTTGACTCTCAGAGAAAGGAATGTTATTTTGGGTAGATATTTCCCCACTCCATGCAATTCCCCCCTCCTAGTTTCCCACAGCAGGGAAAGCACTGAAGATCCAAAGAAAAAGATGGCCTCAAGAGTTGACAGCAATTGGACTTTCTGGGTTTTTTGGAAGACGTTTCACTTCTCATCCAAGAAGCTTCTTCAGCTCTAACAGGTCAGAGCTGAAGAAGCTTCTTGGATGAGAAGTGAAGAAAAACCAGGATGTCTAGTTCAGGAGGGGGTTCTAAACTTTTTACTACCGGTTCTATGGGCGTGGCTTATTTTGTGGGTGTGGCTTGATAATCATGTGACAATTATTTAGGATTTAGCAGAGGTACTGGTCTACCAGGCTTTTAACTGCTTGCAGAGCTGTACTGATCTACCCATTTATTTTTTGCAGGCATTGATCTACCCATTTATTTTTGCAGGCACTGATCTACCCATTTATTTTTGTAGGCACAAAGCCAGCTGGGTAAACTTCAGCCAGTTACCTCTATCAACCCTAGGAAGGATATAACGGCAAATCACTTCTGAAAAACTTTGCCAAGAAAACTGCAGGAACTTGTCCAGGCATTCTCCGAGGATTGGAGACAAATGAACAGAAGGGGGTGGGAGGGAATCAAAAGAATCATGATACACAGTCAAAAGCCCTACATCAGTAGTTTCCAACCTTTTCTATGCCTTCCACCCCTATGAAATGTTTGATTAGTGTTCAAAAGTAATTGTGAATTGTGACTCATCACTAAGGGACACGAGCCACTCTCTGTCACACCCCCTAAAATTCCATCTCAAAAGGGAACAAGCAGCCACACTTGGTTGCACCCCATGAAATTCCATATCACGCTTTCTGGGGTGCAGGCACCCCCAGCTGGAAATCTCTTCCCTATATGCATCCAAGGATAATGATGTCAGTAAAATTGTTGGTTTTCTTGCAATGTTTTAGGACATTGTATACAAGTTTAATAGAGACCTTGATTTGGCAACCAAGAATGAATTCAGATTGATCGTTATGGATAAGATGAGTAATTATATTATTTAGTCTGTAGGCCAATAAGGGGGTAATTTTTTTAGAATCTTGAGTACCGTTACAATGTGATACCCTAAATGAGTTGGATCCCTTTTTTTTTATTTAAGGAAAACAGATTCTGGATTATCTTCATGAATTGGAAATAGGCTGACCTATTGAAATAGTGTTACAAAGGTGAGCTAAATTTGGAGTAGTTATTTGGCAAAGCTCTTAAAACATTCTGCCAGAAACTCAACACTGCCTACTGCTTTGTTGTATTTAAGATTCTTTAAAAGCTCTGTCATTCCTTCTAGGGATAATTTTTTTATTTTCTTTTTTTAACATCAAATGTGGGTATCTGAATTAGTAATTTCTTTACTTCCTGTAGCCAAAGGTCCATTCAGTAATTTTTACTTATTGTTTTATTCCCATCCATTTGACATTTAAGAAGGGAAGCTAGGAACTCCAAATTTTTGTTGCCAGACTCATTTTTGTGGTCCTGTCATTAAACCATTTTTCCAAGCAGTCTCCATTTTTCCAGTGTCTTTCTTCCCACTTGGAATTGAATCCAGATGGACGTTTCTTCCAACACTACTAAGAAAACTGGTTACAATTTACTTCGTTAAAAAAAAAAAAGTCTCATTCCTGCAAGGAGAACTCATGGAATACAGGACATTTCTTGTTTTAGTAGGCAAAACTCCAGAAATTCCCCAATGGCATGTTGTCAATGCAGGGTCAATGCATCTCTAGCAGAAGGGCTTATCCTTCGATTACAGGTTAAGCATTCTTTTAACAGCACCGTGTTGTGCAAGTTTCCTTAATTCCTGCCTTGAGAATTCTGGATGTTGAAGTTGACACGTTTTAAGATTGCCAAACTTGAAAAAAACTGGGTTAATGCGTGTTTTGTGAAAGAAGAGAGTGTAAGTTCTGGCAGCTTCTTCTTCCCAGCCCCTGCTTCTCCAAATTCAGGTATACTGCCTGAGAATATTGGATAAGCCTGGGGGAACCAAGACGCAGCTCTGTTGGAACGATCTTTCAGTTTTATTGCATTGAGATACAGGGAACAGAACTCTGCTTTGCCCATTGTCTTTCAAATCCAATCCAAGGTAATCCAGGCCCAGTTTCAGTCTCCATAGACATAGATTCCTTCAGGTTCAAGTCTGAGTCAATACACCAAGAATTGGATGATGGTAACGTGTTGGGTGTTATCAGCTTCTGAGATACATTGCTTGAAGCTGCCACTTCCCTCCTGTTGTGGTCTGCCAGCAGCCTGCAGACCTGGCAGCGGAGTCAGACAGTGAGGAGGATGAGGAGGACAATGGGCCAGTCCTGGAGTTAGGGGAAGGGCTGGACGAGGGCTCTGTGTCGGAGGCAGAGATGGGGCCAGGGCCATCTGGGAGCGATGTGTGGACTCCGGAGCCTCCAGAGGCGGACAGCAGAGAGGCAAAGGAACAGGAGGAGCCTGTTCCTAGTGCACGTGTGCGAAGAACTGCCAGAAGGCAAGAGCAGCTGAAGAAAAAAGAACAACTCGGGAGTAAGGCCAGAAGATGATTGGCCACTCCCATAAGGCTTAAAAGAGCAGCAACAAGCCGTTGGATTCTTTGTAGAAAAGCAACGTTGATTCCCGTGCTTCTTGTCAGCGTCTCTTGAACTTTGTGGGTTTTTTGCCAAGAAAAGCTTTTTGCAGGTTGCCGAAGGCATCAAAGGTTGGTGATAAGGCCGCCGGACTGGTTATTAAGAATTTGTTTTGGACTAAGCTGAGAATGAATTAATTCTCAGTTGTTTTAATAAGTTTGTTGAGGACTGAATTGTGTTTGGTAATCACTACTTGGGCCTTGATCACAACACCTCCCTCCACCACTACATACCTCAGTTTTCAGGGTATACATAAAAGCCCGACAGTACTTTCCCAAGAAAAGCCCTTGAGGGGTATCCACACAGGTGCACGTATGAGCCAGAACCGTTAACTTCTCCCATGACAAGGTTTTGGTTTCTTCAATCTCTGCATCTCCGTAATACAATTTCCCTCCCACACAGTCTCTTTAGCAAGCTTCTCCCATTTTCCTTCTTCTATCATCGGCGGTCTTTTCCAAATGGTGAGCCTGCCAGAGTTGCCCCTCCTCAAAAGATGTCTCTTCCTCTCCTCCAACCTGTCTTCATGGTTAGTATGAAGGAGCTCTCCTGCTTGATGGAACCCCTTCTCCTATGACCTTCTAAATCTCAAGGACGAGGATGCTCATACCCACTTTAGCCTTCTTCTCACTTGTGTGGAGGAAAAACCCATGCCCAGAAATAGCCCATTTGGTGAATCTCAAATGTAGAACACCCCAATGCCTGCACCTTATTAGTTGGGCACCTTGACGGGAGATTGAATATATCAAGCTGGGGAGCCATCTACATTTACCCAACTCTGGGCTAGGAAAAGGGACTGGCAGGCAATTGTTTTCCCAACACCAGGCAATACTTGATGAGAAAGGAAGCAGGGAAGCCATCACTTTAGTTGTTCTTTTATCAAAACCGAAAGGACGGTGCCAATAGACGGCACCAGCTGCCTATTAAGGCTAAATAGGGCTCAGCAATGGGGGAGGCTGCCAAATGTTATGCTAGCAACCTTCTCTGGCAGCTCAAGGGCAGCTGCCATCATCTCTTTGCAATGTCTGTGGAGATTCTCAGTCATCCAGGTCATGGTTGTCCCAAAGGTGCTTTTTCAAAAGGCAACTGTTTTTCCTTGAAGACGTTTCACTTCTCCTCCGAGAAGCTGCTTCTGTTCTGACTGAATAGTGGAGGATGGAAGGGTTTATATTCCTTGCAATCCTTCCATCCTCCACCATTCAGTTAGAACTGAAGAAGCTTCTTGAATGAAAAGTGAAATGTCTTCAAGGAAAAATAAAGTCTAGTTGCCTTTGCATCTCTTTGCAGTCTTCCACTAGACCTGAGCTTCTGCAGACAAAATATAATTTTCCTCCTCAGCTATGATTAGGGATAGTTCCTTGTTTTAAATAAGCCTATGTCTTATTTATGAAATACATGTAGTCCCTGATTTACAACAGTTCATTTAGTGACCAAAGTTACAACAGCACTGAAAAAACTGACTTATGACCATTTTTCACACTTATGACCATTGCGTCATCCCCACGGTCACGTCATCAAAATTTAGATGGTTGTCAACTGACTCACATTTATGACGGTTGCAGTGTCCTGGGGTTGTGAGCTTCTGACAAGCGAAGTCAACAGGGAAGCCAGATTCTCTTAACCACCGTGTTACTAACTTAACAACTGCAATGATCCGCTTTACGACCAAGAAAGGTCGTAAAATGGGGCAAAACTCACTTGACAAATGTCTCACTTAGCAACAGAAATGTTGGGCTCAATCGTGGTCGTAAGTGGAGGGCTACCTGTATTTCTTTTATCATCCACAAACCAACAAATCACACTTGACTGTTCTAATTACGGCATTTGGTTTTCAGCTATGGGGAAGATTATTATTTAGATAGATTGAAGTTACCGTTAACCGTCCCTGGCATATGCATTTCCTCAGATTTTAGCTGCCTACTAGTTTTTAAATAATTCCCGAAACAAAGGAGTACTGTGGTCATAAGTCGAAGACAAGAACCTTTGGGGTGGAGGGGATCCAGGGAGGCAGTGCCAGGCAAGCCTCAAGGGAAATGCTTAGGTTGTTTGAAAAAGCCCACGTGGCTCTCCCTCTGCCAACCTCTGAATGCCAAGTCCGAAACCCTTGTGCCCACCTGCTAGAGGTCATCCCTGGCCTAATTTTGGAAATCTCCAAAGGTGGGAGGGGCGCAAGGACAAATCCCGAGCCTTTTACGCGCGGGGCTTTACGCGCGTTCCCTCCTCCGCCTCCTCCCGGCCCTGCCGGCGTCCCCAGGCGAAGCTGAGCCTCCGGCAATGGAAGAACAAGGACGGGCGGCTCGGAAGCGACGGAAAGGCCCGGACTTCCTCTCGCCTCTTTTTTCCCCCACCCACTGATTGGCTCGGCCGGATTATGAAATCGTAGAAATAGGAGGCTGCTCGCCGCCTTTGCCGCAAAAAAAAGTCGCCCGGTTTAAAAAGAAGCCCGCGCGGGGCTGAGGACCAGAGGGCGAGCAAGGTGAGGCTTAGGGCGGCGGAGCGATGAAGTCGGCCCTGGTGCTGCTGGCCGGGTGGCTGGCGCTGACCGCCTATTACGTCTACCTGCCGCTACCCAGCACCGTCTCCGAGCCTTGGCATCTGATGATGCTGGATGCGACCTTCCGGGTCGTGCAGCAATCGGTAAGGAAAAAACAAACAAACGCAGAGGTCCTTCGCTCGCTCTCCCCTCCCTCCCTCCTTCCTTCCCTCTCTCGGTCTGTTTGCCTGCCTGTCTCCCTCCCTCCCTCCCTTCCTTCCTGCCCGCAGCTCTCCGGGTTCACACGACTCGAGCAGTTAAACCAGGTCAAGAAGAGAGCTAGCGGTTACCCTGGCAGAAGCCGCCCAGCAGAGTCACTGTTATCCGCGATAACAGGCTGCATCTTTCCATCGCCAGTTTCTGATTCCACCCATTCGGCCCCAGACATAGACAGACAGACACACACAGACACACACACATACACACACACACACACACCGCTAGTTTCTGATTTTACGCATTCGGTGCCAGACACACACACACACACACACAGAGAGAGAGAGAGACAGACAGACAGACAGACACCGCTAGTTGCTGATTTTACGCATTCGGTCCCAGACAGACAGACACCGTTAGTTTCTGATTTTACGCATTCGGTGCCAGACACACACACACACACACAGAGAGAAACCGCTAGTTGCTGATTTTACGCATTCGGTGCCAGACACACACACACACACACACACAGAGAGAGAGAGAGAGAGAGAGAGAGAGAGAGAGAGAGACAGACAGACAGACAGACAGACAGACAGACAGACACCGTTAGTTTCTGATTTTACGCATTCGGTGCCAGACACACACACACACACAGAGAGAGAGAGAGAGAGAGACAGACAGACAGACAGACAGACAGACAGACAGACACCGCTAGTTGCTGACTTTACGCATTCGGTGCCAGACACACACACACAAGAGTGGGGTGGGGGGAAGGTGTTTAAATCGGTAAATGGGTTGCGCGAATGCCGGCGTTCCTGGAGCGATCTACGAGACGCGGATCTCGTGCGCTGCTGCTTTTGGTGCCCTTAATCGGCCTTTGCCCGCTGGTTTGCACTGGGATATAATGCCGCTTCAAGCATTCCGCATCGGAAAGGCGTGCCACATCTGGGTTCCTTATGGGACACATCTCCCTTACTTTCGCGTTCTCCGGCTTGGCCAGTTGCATCGGTCTTCCTGGTTTAGAAAAAGCCTTTGGCACGAGTATCGGGTATGAATCATAAAAACCGAAGTCTTTCGCTTTAAGCGATCCAAGCGCCGCCTTTCATTCAGCCCCCCCCCCCTCCGTCTTCCCTCCGGACCAGCTACAGTCCGGCTGAGTTGTTCCAAACATTATGAAAGGCTCCCTTTTCTAAAAAAGATCAACTGATTGTTATGTAACCTTTTGAGAAGAAATATTTAAAAACAACTTCCTGCCTAGCCTGATGGTTGTTGGAAGTCACTCCCTTCTTATTTACACCTGAGTTAGTGTCTCAGTACATTGTCAGGGCAGCCTTGCTAGGGACAGTCTGGGTGGGGTGGGGTGGGGGGGTTTCAGTTGCCCTTCCCAGATTTTTAATCAAGTTAGTTTAGCCTGTAGTTCTTACATCTGCTAATGGACCTCCCATCCAAAAGTAAGATGGAGAATGAAACTGTCAGCCCTTCGAGGTAGTCCAGACAAGAAGCACAAATCATGAGCACTACTATACAGTGGTGAAATCCAAATTTTTTTACTGCTGGTTCTGTGGGCGTGGCTTGGTGGGCGTGATGTGGCTTGGTGGGCGTGGCAGGGGAATGATACTGCAAAATCTCCATTCCCACCCCACTCCAGGGGAAGGATACTGTAAAATCCCCATTCCCTCCCACTCCTGGGGGAAGGATATTGCAGAATCTCCATTCCCACCCCACTCTGGGACCAGCCAGAGGTGGTATTTGCCGGTTCTCCGAACTACTCAAAATTTCCGCTACCGGTTCTCCAAACTACTCAAAATTTCCGCTACCAGTTCTTCAAAACCTGTCAGAACCTGCTGGATTTCACCCCTGCCACTATACCTTTAAGAAAGTTGGACCATAAGAAAGGCTGAGCACCAAAGAATTGAGGCCTTTGAACTATGGTGCTGGAGAAGACTCCTGCGAGTCCCTTGGGCTGCAAGGCGATCAAACCGGTCAGTCCTAGAGGAGATCAACCCTAACTGCTCTTTAGATGGCCAGATCCTAGAGATGAAATTCAAATACATTGGCCACCTAATGAGAAGGAAGGACTCACTGGAAAAGAGCCTAATGCTGGGAAAGATTGAGGGCAAAAGAAGAAGGGGACGACAGAGAACGAGGTGGCTGGATGGAGTCACTAAAGCAGTCGGCGTGAGCATAAATGGACTCCAGAGGATGGTAGAGGACAGGAAGGCCTGGAGGAACATTGTCCATGGGGTCGCGATGGGTCAGACACCAACTTCGCAACTAACAACAACAACATACCTTTAAGGTTACAATACAATACAATACACCTTAACCCAAAGGTGCTTTTTCAGGAGGCAACTGGACTTCCTTGTTTTTTTTTTTTTTCTTTTGAAGACAAGAAAGACAAGAAAATCCTGAAAAAGCACCTTTGGGACAACCATGAGCTGGATGATTGAGAATCTCTACAGACTTTCAGGTAGTCCTTGAGTTACAACTATTTGTTTAGTGACCGCTCAAAGTTACAACAGCACTGAAAAAACTACTTTTTTCAGTGCCTTTTTTCCTAGTAGCTGCAACTACTAGGGTAATTGCAGCATTCCTGTGGGCCCTGTGATCAGATTTGGGATGCCTGACACAACTGGAATGTATGCATGATGGTCGCAGTGTCCCAGGGTCGTGGGGCCACCTTTTGCGACCCTCTGAAAATGGGGACACCAGATGTTACTAATTTAACAACTGCAGTAAGTCCCTTAATGGTGGTAAGAAAGAGTCTTACTGCAGTTGTTGAGGTAGTAACACAGTTGTTAAGTCAATCTGGCTTCCGCGTTTTCAGAAAGTCGCAAGAGGTGGTCACAGAAAAAAAGAGACAAAATTGTCTTGCTTAGCAACATAAATTTTGGGCTCAGCTGTGTCTTAAGGACTACCTGTTATAGAATCTTGCAAGTCTGAAAGCTCCTTTCTTACTTTTACTTTTGAAAAACTAGGGAAAGTGCCTTCTGAGATATTTCTCATGCCTCTTTTTGTTCTGTGGGCTGAGATACCTTTTACATGGCATTCATTTAGGCTGCAGCTCTTCCTTCTTCCCCATCCACTCCAAAGTCATTTGTACACACTATACTATTACAGATACTGCTTAGCTTTAGAACTCACCCATGCTTATTATTGGGTGAACACCGAGTACAGGTAATCCTCCACTTTCAACAGTTCACTCAGTGACCGTTTGAAGTTACAACACCATTGAAAAAAATGACTTATGACCATTTTTTCACACTTATGACCGTTGCAGCATCCCCATGATCATGTGATTTACATTTGAATGCTTGACAACTGGTTCATGTCTAGGACAGTTACTGTGTCCTGGATTCATGTGATCACCTTTTGCGACCTTCTGGCAAGCAAAGTCAATGAGGAAACCAGATTCATTTAACAACAGTGTCGTTCATTTAACAACTGCAGCGATTCACGTAATGAATGAGTGGCAAGAAAAGTCGTAAAAGGGGAACAAACTCAACAAATGTTTCGCTGAGCAACATACATTTTGGGCCCCATTGTGGTCGTAACTCAACGACTACCTGTACAGTGAGTGGTCTTTCTCAATCTCAACCTTCTAAATCGATTGGGTCTCTACTTCCATAATCCCTAGCCCTTTTGCCATCACGTGCCAAAAGCGTGGGGAGCGTGGGGGGGTCATGCACACGTGTGCCCACATCCATAATTCTATGTGCCTCCCCCGCTTCCCCTGCTTTTGGCACGTGATGGCACGGTGGGCCCAGTAGGCCCATTTTTCACTCTCCCCAGGCTCCAGAGCCTTTCTAGGAGCCTGGGGAGGGCAAACATGGCCTTGCCCATCCCCCCAGAGGCCCTCCGGAGGCTGGAAACAGTGTGTTTCCTGACTTCTGGTGGGCCCAGAAGGCCTGAAAATCAACTGGCCGGCGCACGCATGCATGCCGAAGTTGAGCTCGCGTGCCCACCAATATGGCTCCATGTGCCACCTGTGGCACACGTGCCATAGGTTCGCCATCACGCCATCACATCTAGCCTATCTAATTTTGATGGAGATTATGGAAACAGCAATCTGAACAAAATGCCAAGTGGGAGAAAGTTTGGATATAGAACTCTTCAGCTGAAGAAATAGTGTCTGAAGACCACCCCTGCTTCAAACATTGTAGTATAATCGATATACTTCAGGTGGTTATGACTAACACTTTTCCAGATCAACCAACACATTTTTTTTTCTTCCTAGTGTTATCTCAAAAATGCAGGGTCTGGTTATTTTTCAGATCACCCAAGCCTGAGACAATGGGCTGAGAGACACATGTATATTCTTCGCCTTGAGTTACTTAATGAAGTAATAAATTGGGCTACATATCAAATCAATAAGGTCACCCAGTTGACTTTGTGGCTAGAGTGGGCTAGAAGTCATCATTTCCTGGTTTCTAAATGGGTACCTTAACCCCTAAACCAGGGGTCAGCAACCTGCGGCTCTGGAGCCGCATGTGGCTCTTTCACCACTCTGCTGCGGCTCTCTGTCACTCAAAATATGCATCACAACCGCCAATGTGCAACACCCACCGGTACGCGATGTATTGAGCTTTTCAAACCCCAGTAGGTCAACCATGGAAAAATCCAAGAAAAGAAAAGTTTCAGAAGAAAACAGAACATTTAATTTAACTACATATGCTAGTTTTGTGGCCGCTCAAGAAATAGTCAGGCACGGGAAGGGTTTTATGGCTCCTGGTGTTTTCTTTTCTGTGGGTCCAAATGGCTCTTTGAATGTTTAAGGTTGCAGACTCTTGCCCTAGACCAAACTGGCTCTCCAACCAACATAATACAGCTAGTTCTCGACTTACAACTGCAATTGAGCCCCAAATTTCTGTTGCTAAGCAAGACAGTAATTAAGTGAGTTTCGCTCCGTTTTACAACCTCTCTTTACAACCTCACAGGTGTTAAAATG